CAGAGCCATAGCAAGAAATCTCCTTTATAGAGAGAGCTCTTGTACATGGAGCTTCTGACTTTAGAAAAATATCAGTAGCTGGATGGACTGTGTACGAAGTTTTCATAATCACATTAAAAATTATGGTTTTTCCACTGTGAATGTAGCTTTTTTATTGTATTTAATATTTTCTGAATGTAGCTTTGTAATCAGCATTTTGTTATAAATTGTGGAGCATTGTCATTTTATGCTGCAAATTTTCCATATTTATGATGCATCATATAACAAATGGCACACATTTACTTTTTTACATTCAAGTTTTGTTATTAATCTGTGAAAGGGTTATCAAATAAAACGTATTTTGGATCTTGGCAGATGGCTCAGCATATTTTCTTTTTGGAATGATCAGACCTCAGATACCAATACTCAAGCAGCTAATAATTATTTACATTCCATATGCTGTATACATACAGGAAGCATTCTCTCATGTACCAACATACAAAATATAGCAATAAACTTGGTAAATTGGTAAATCCTTACACCATCAATTCTGTTACCATCAATTCTACTCTTCTACAGGACAGTTTAGCTATGGCACCCTACTCTACACTGGAGATTGTAGCACTAATTCTAATTGGTCTTAGTTAGATCCACCTGCCTCTGAATTCCAAGTGTTGAGATTAAAGTTATGATCCACCATGGTCTGGCCCCTATGGCTAAATACTGCCTGTCTCCACTCTGGTCTTCAGGCAAGGTTTTTTGTTTGTTTATTTTTGTTTGTTTCTAATTTAGTTGGCTGTGGAGTGATCAGCCCACTGCCTCTGATAGTGCCATGTTTTTCTTTCTTTTTTTTGAGATACACCAATCAAGCGAAAGGGAGGGAGGAAGCTGGAACCAGCGCAGGTAGCTGGGGGAGCAGAAGAGCGAGCCCGGGTCTCCACGTGCAGCCCTTAAGAACCTTCTCTTATGTTCACCTTGCCCTCATGAGCGAGTCCTCAGTACATTTGGCACCTGTGAAGGTTCCCAGGGGCAGGGCTAAGGTGTCTCCTTACAGTTGGCTTTTTGTTTGTTTTTGTTTTTGAGACAGGGTTTCTCTGTGTAGCTTTGGGGCCTGAAATGGAATTTCAGGAAGTCACAGAGATCCACCTGCCTCTGCCTCTCCTGTGCTGGGATAAAAGGCTTTTGCCACTACCACCTGGAAACCTTCATTTTTAAGGCACAACCAAGATACCACCACACTTGGGGAAACCATTTACAGGATCCACAGAATTAATGCCATATGGGTCCTACTGAGGTGATGGGGTTCTTCCTTCAGCAATACATGATCAAAGTGCTTTAACTTTCTGCTGCCACCAGCTACAATGGTGTGATTTGGGGAAGTTGAGTTCCAGGGAACAAAGGGAATTTCTGATCTGCAGAAGTTTCTCAGGTGTGCATGGTGTTGTGTAGA